GCACAAGAGCAGCTCGTTCAGAAACTCCCAGTCGGCCTTGTTGCGGGCCTCGATCATCTCCACCATCGATCTCCGGAAATCGGCGTACGGATCGGGCGAGTAGGTATATACGGGCACGCCGCCGCCAACCACCGCGCCGGAGCCTTCCTCCTCCGGCGGCGGCGGAGGATGGTCGAAGATGGAGTTGGAGCGGCCAGGGGAAGAGAGGAAGAATCGGTTGGAGGCGAATGCGGAGGTGAAGTCGGGCAGTGGGTCGTCGGCGGAGTCGTCGTCGTCGGAGGAGGAGAGGAAGTCGTCTGTGGCGGCGCCGGCGGCGGTGGTGGTGGTGGTGGAGAAGGTGAGGGATTTGGAGAGGTGGTCGGAGGCGCAGCAGGAGTTGGCGTCGTATAAGGAGTTGAAATTCTTGAAAATTGATGGATTGTTGACGTCGGCGTCGGAGAAACGGTGGTCCTGGTCGAGCTCGTCAATAGCCGGCGGCGGTGGGGAAAAAGCGATTGAGGGAAAGCACTTGAATTTGAAGAAGCAGAGGTTGAAGCTCTTCCACATCAAGCTTGACATTTTTTTTTTTATTTTTTTATTTTTTGTTTTTTCTTTGAATAGTTGATCGGCAGTAGTTAGAAAGTGAGGATGACTTATGAGGGTAAATCAATATATATAATTAGCAACTGACATAATGCGACCTTCAATTTATGTGAGTGTGCATGTATATATGTGGTGAATCGAATGAGTCAATTTCTTATCACGAGAATGTTAGACTTAGTGATAACAATTGATTTACATATGATTTGTGTAGAATTAGTGACTTATATTAATCAATTGAAATAAGTAATTTATTTGTTCAAGAAGTGAAATACCTGTGGCAGTCGACGAGATCGTTATTGACTTGACTGACGGGCGAACGCCGTCAGTTTCAAGACGACACAATTAGTTTATACACGATGCGTATTAGTACATATATAAGACATGCTATGTTGATACAATTGCTTATTTTGATACCGACAGTTATCGACGACCGACGGCAGTATAATCAAATTATGGTTGCATATTTAGTTCACACACATACATGTTCGTTGATAGTCGACCGACAATAGTTACAATTGATATTGATTGGACAGTTTCATCGGGGGTTACAACACGTTTTATGGTGTAATCAAAACAATAAACCTAGAGAGAATAAATATGCGAAAAAAAAAAGCGAGACGTCGATGTTGCCGATCTGCTATGGAGATCGAAAATGAGAAGGTTCTCTGGAATTCTTATTGAGAGACTATAGGAAAAGAGATTATAGCCTTTTAAGAATGTATGGGGTGTTTTTGCTATGTGCTAGCTTGAGTGGGTATGAGTGTGTTCATATATAATTTTTTCTCATGTCCTTGCTAGGATCCAAAGGGGTCGAATTTATACACGGAAAAAAAAAATGCATTAAAGGTTTGGTGCCAACTAAGGGCTTAGGTGGCGACGCACGTACCAATGTAAAACTCGTCTTTTAAGGATGACAAAACTTAGGCGGTGGCTTATCAACTTTATTGGTTTGGCGTTCAGGTGAAGAGATATCGCTAATCTTCTTCGAGAAGACTTAGAGAAAGATCGACAAGGACTATCGTCTGTCGATTGGGGGACGAACATACCTAACATCGCTTCTTGGGTTGTTTGCATGTTTTATGGGCCCAATTACGTGTCTCGGCTTTACTCTTGGAAGGTCTTAACTTTAGAAATTTTAGGCATAACAATATCTAATTTATACGTGATGTATATATAGTTCATTCACATTGTATACTTAGTTGGTATCACATATTGTCTAAATATGCATTATCTATAAATTAAATATATAGTTCTAAAACTAACGGTTGTGTCGATCTCCGTTGGTCAACACAGACAATCAATGATCAACGTTGTTGCCGCCAGCGGTCAACACCTCCGGTCAATTTCTTATTTTAATAATTAAAAGAGTAAAAGATTAAATCCTAGCTACATAGATTGTCTCTGTTCTGTAGCTAGGGTTGGTTCTGAAATTCTTATTTTGAGAATTGTGGCTCATTTGATCGAATCCCTACACACACATACACACATATATTAGATGAAATAATAAATAGAGATAGTGTGATATGGGATAACCACACTTGGTCGACTGGACCGGAGAAACAACTAAACCAAACTGATAGATCATCGGGTCTAAGGCAGAAAGGGATTATTCTGGTCGAAAGACCCTCTGGTCGAAGAAAGCACTAGAAGACAAAGGATACTGAGGGGTAGAACATACGCTTGCAGAGAGAATGGTCAAAGGTCAAGTGGAAGAGGAATCTGGTCGAAGGATCGGCCACATGAGCAGAGCAAAAACGCTCATTGTCCACGATGCCCCACCCTGAGATAACAGAGGTCGAAACGATGATCAGGCTACTTAAAGAGAAGAGCTTAAAGATAAGAAGGAATCTTAAGGGGATTAAACTCCTCATATTGGTAAAACCACATAGCACCACCCAAGTGGTCCACGCCTCATAACCACCTCTGTCAGCCCGGGTGACCCTTACAGCCTGTCAACTGAGACAGCTCACGCACCTGGCATGGATCCTAAGGTATCTTTTTCCTATAAAAGGGAGGGAGGTATGACTGAAATTACATTACATTCTTTATTATACTTCATATACGACAACTTCGTATCACCTCGCCTTTCCATCAGTTTGAAGATTTCCTGAAGCGGCGTGTTCAGAGGCTTATTGTCTTCGAACTTCGGATCTCTAAACTGATCCTCGATCCTATTCTCTTTTTACTATGCTCGGTGCTCACCCTGGAGCTGTCTCTCTTTCACTTGCTTTGCATTAGTTTTATCATTCAGGAGGAAATCAGCCTCTGATTCCTCCATATCGACATACTTGCTAAACCTCTCCAGGAGCTCGTCGAAAGATCTCACCAGCCTCTTTGCCAAAGAATCCCTACACTTGCCAGGCCTTAGACCTCGCATGCGACTCCAACTTTGATCTCCTCGAAGGCAGAAGAACCTCTACGTACTCCTTAGTGTATCTTGCTACATACTGCCGCAAGGTCTCCCATTCTTTTTGTTGCATGCTAATAAGCGAGAGGTACGTCTTCTCATGCTTTATGGCACTCGCGAACTAATTTTAAAACAAAGAGCTAAGTTTCTTAAAGCTATAGACGGAACTGGTTGGTAGTTGGTGAAACCAATTCTCTGTTGATCCCTTCAAAGTGGTTAGAAAGTCTCGACAACTAACTGTGTCGCTATATCTGTGTAGCACAATTATATTATTGAACGATCTCAAGTGTATTGTAGGGTCCATCGAACCATCATAAGACATACTCAGCTCCCTGAAGTTGCTTAGAAATTTCCCTTCCAAAACTTCGTCTGAAAACGAGTGTCCATGTGTCTCAAGAACCCTTTTTCCCTAAACCTGAGCTTGCAGCTCGCACATCTGAGACGAAAGTCTTTCTAAGGTTAGTCCTCCAGGCTGGTGTGATAGTGTAGTCCTAGAGGTGAATTTTCTTGTATCGTCCTCCTTGACCCTCTCTTAGCGCTGAGGTTGCATTTGACGCAAAGGACTGTTGTTGAGGCGGTGGCTACTGCAGTAACTCGTGCGGAGCTCGCCTTTGCACTTCTTTTGCTCGGCCTTACAGCCTCAGTAATGATCTTGTCTAACTTCATGATGGTCATATGAACAACCTGATCCCCTTAGGTGCCGGAGGAGGCCGATCCTCCAGTGGATTGTGTTCTTCCTCCACGACTACATGTATGTTCTCTTGGTGGCTTGTCTGCTCC